ATCTAGGTCAAATCTCCAAATTATTATTTGTAATTTTAATGCAGTTCACCAATACTTTTCATCATCTCTTCCCTACTATTGTTCAGCCCCTGTCAGCTCATTCTTTTAGTGAGTGACAGCTTGGACTAACCAATCACAAATGAGTATGAACTCAAAGAAGCAGCAGCTTTATAAAGATGTACACGCATTTAATAAAACTGAATTTAGCCCTAAAAAAACTAAAACAAGATATGGACTTTTTAGGCATATTTCCAACCACTTGAGAATAGCTTGTTGAGATTCATCATATATTTATCAAAGAGAGTCAGTAAGTGCTCTAACAGTGGATTATGTATTGAGCAAAAGTTTCAAAACCTCCTTGAATTTTTCAATGGAACTATCATGGATGACTGAGGAATTGTACAGGGAACGCTTATGGGTGCAATAGTATGCATTACCACTACTACTACTACAACTACTACTATTACTTTGTACAGTCACCGGTGCCATTTCTCAAGGGTGTAGGTTTGCAAAGGGGCGGAGGGACATGTCACAATCGATATTTGGAGAAGACAAAAAAGTCCCTACCAATATTTGCCGTTTTATTTTAATACACAAAAATATACATTTATTCCAGTAGGAGCCTAAACTGGGGAAGCGGCAGGACAGGGCCAGCCCCCGAAGATGGTGGCTTGAGCAGGCGTGAGTGAAGACGCTGCACCAAACTTTGAAAAACTTTTCAAAAGGAACTTACAATGAGTCGCCACAGAAAAAGAGCAACTATCACCACAAGTGCACCTCCCAAACGGGGCCCTACTCATGCGCTGTGAGCAGCCCGACTCTACTGACAATATTCCCTGGAAAAATGTACGGACATGACCTCCCAAATATCTCGACAAGCAACAAGCAAAGGGAAATCTGCTACAAACTTCTACATCGCTGTTATTCACTAAAGAATCAGCTTAGAAAGGCAATGGACACAAACTGTACATTTTGCAAACTGAAAAATTCTCTTTACTTCATACAGAATGTGTCATAGTTTTTATATAGAATGCCCTTTCATACTTTGCTATACTTGCCATTTGTGTCATAAATGTGTAACGTATTCTGCTAAATGAGTTATTTTCAACAGTGGCAGATGAAATTCAATATTTCGACTAAAAAATGCAAGTTAGAGGACATTTTTACTTCAGACTTTCTTCGCTCCAAACCATTGGATTTGCCATGGTCTGAACTTGAGGGTGAAAGGAGCTGTCGGTCAGCCTGTGGAGGAGCTCCGACCGTTCAGAGAGACTGCAGTGGGCCTTTTGTGGAGATCTGTGTGGCCTCGCTCCCATTCATTCTGTGTCCACTCTCACACCAAGAAAACACATTGTGGCTATACAATGGAGCACATTTCAGTTGGAAAGGTGCAGCTTGGTATTTATTTTAATTATTTTTTATCAAATATTGTGGTGCCTGCTGCCTGCACTTGTGTGAGTCAGCCCTGGATGGTCCGGAAAAGCAGCTCTAAATGCAGACTTTAATTACCCCCGAGCAGTAATGATGTTTAAGAGTGGAATGCTAACTCTTAGACCGGAGCTTTAGGCCAAACACGTGACGGAAATGACAAGAGCAGTCAGGACTGAACTTGGGTGAACTTGAAAAACTGTTCTCTTGATTTAATAGTTTATTTGCAAAAACACATCATTATTTTTCATATCATTATATTCTTCAGGTATAACAGAAACAAAAGCAAAATGAATTTCATTAAATAGGACTAGCTCGATTCTTCTAAATCTGAAAACAGATTTGACAGTTGTGCAAGTAGTAAATTACTAATGTCTTTTTAAATTTCAAAGTTTTTTTTTTTATTTCAAAGACAAGAATTTGTTGCTCTTTGTAAATTAACACTTTCATTGTTTCATGTGTAATAGTAACTGTTAAAAAAGACAGTGTGCTTGTATCTGCTATATAGTTATAATCTATGATGCATGTAGATGATTTTGTTACAGTTTAAATAGAATCTTGAATAATAAGAAACAAATCTGCTGATGTCTGTGTTAGAAAACTGCTGGGTTTCAGATGACATCACTAGCCTGATTCATCAGCAGGTTTCACTTCGTAGAATTTGTCTGACCTCACAGTATTAGGATTAGTTCGCTTGACGGTATGTGGGTACTTTTTTATTGAACCAATCGCTGCTATTTGGTTGTGATGTATGTAATGCTGCTAATGAGGTTAACTGGTATAATAAGCTTTTCCCAAATCCTGTAGGAAGGGCATTAACCTCTTTCCCCTTGATAAAATTCACCAAACATTCTCTTTGTTCCGGCTTTAAATCCTCGATCTCGGGAACCGTTGCCAACACAGAATGTATGGCTCTTCACTGATTGGCTGGTGCCCGAACTCGCACCGTCTAGTGTATTCTGATTCCTGACCTAGTCGCTGGAGAGAAATTAAATTAAGCGGAGGCACTAGGTGGCACCAGCCTGGCTATGATATCACATCATTCTATAGGTCAATATTAATGAATACAGATGGGGGAAGCCAAAACCAATATTGTTAAAATGCAAAATTATGATGGAATACAGTGAAGTCTTGGGTTTAGTAAATGAAAATAAAATGAAAATACCAGGTTCAACATTTGGGAGTTTACCTTTTGGATATTTAATGGCAAAGTGTAATGTAATCAATAGGATAAACTGGCCCTCACCCCCATCTGGGAGTTATCATATCCTAGAATCTGAAAACTACCAATGGAGCTGACAACACCGAAAACGTCATCCAATGTCATCAATAAAAAGCCGCACAAACAACAATAGCGAGCAGCAGATTTTATTGTAGCTAAATGACTACGCTGCCAAATCCTACGGTTGATCGGAACAATGACGTTTTGAATACAGGAGTATAAAGACTATTCAAACACGCACAACAATTACATGGCTCACTTTAAATTATAAGTGGAAAACTAAAACTGGATTATGGCTTAATAATTCTTCTGAAAGGCACTGGAGGCTTTCCCAGTCACTGTAGGTAGGTGTGAATGAAGGCAGTAGTCGTTTATTTTTGTGGCTAATACAAAGGAGATCATTTGAACAATGGTGTCTAAAAAGGTATTTCTAGTGGTGATTTGGAGAATACTACAACCATAAGGCATCTGTTGGGCTTGGTACATCCTCACTGAATGTCAGTTGCTGCAAGGCACACTTGAAACTCAAAATGGCAGACCACTAGCCACTCTCCCATTCATTATATTCAAACTTTATTTGTTTATATGCTTAAAATTGAGCATTCTCTCCCCTCAGAGCTAAAAGAATTCATATTTCCCAACTGGCCCATCTGAGGGAAGAGACTTCACTGATGTGCTTTCCACTCCATCACTGGACTCATCTTGAAAAATCATTTAAAAAAGAAAATAACCTTGATTTTGTGAAAAGTGGTTCACAATTTGACCAACTGAGACCCACGACAACAGTTCTCCCAATGACCTCGGGCTTTTCTTTTTAAACTGACAAGAACACCCAAACATCATTCATGCGCTGATTTGATTTGATGCTGTGGCAAGCGGAGAACTGGAATTATTTTATTTAGGTGTCTTTTGCGTGCAGCAGCTATTTTTGTTTAAGAAATGAAATGTACTTGATAATAAATAAAGGGGATTGGATTAGGGATGGGCAATATGGACAAAAAATAACATCAAGATTTTTTTGCACACACTGATCCATTACGATTTTATTGAAAGTCAGAGCAGGGACTACTGGTCTTTCAGACTCTTTACATGTTCATTCTTAGCATATGCCATGATTTAAGAAATTGTTAACCACCTTAAATTATGTTTGTGGATATCTAATTGTAACTGCACAATAACCCTGAAGAAAGTCAGTAAGTCAGATGAGTTGATTAATGATTCACATTTTTGCTATTTTTTTAAATCATGATTATTAAAGACAAGAATTAATGGGATGAATTAGATTTATTGCCCAGCCCTAGATTGGACTGAAAATTACATTATCCAAAATTGACTGTCTTGATCTGCTCAATCCCAACTAGACAAACATGCTTCTTTGGAACATTATATCTATGAAATCTATGTCTGTCTTTGAAATGATGTGTCCCGTGCAGGAATGTCAAAATGAATTGCTAATTGGAGACAGATCACATTATAACTGTAACAACAATTGACACCCTAAGTTAACCTTCCATTGATTCTGTGTTTGGCGCTGAGTTATGGAGATGAAGTCTTATTTGCAGCAGCTATTGACCTGTGTAGTGTCCACTCCAGATTCTTAAAATAGAGCACACTTTTTTACTTGCAATTGTTTAACGATTGGCTTTGTAACTAGGTATGGTAAAGTCTGTCTGCAATGAGCAAAAAAGGAGGGATGTCACCATTGACTAAATTTGAAATGTGTATGATTGACCCGTAGATTCACTATACCTATTTTATACAGCGTTTTGGACCATATCCTCAACATTTAAAGATCTCGCAGGTCTTGTTTGGGAATGTCTATATTAGAAAAGTTACATCACAGCGTAATTCCTAAATGCTAAGTTAAAAATACCCATATGACCCAACATATGACCCAAAACCCAAAGCAATTTTCCCAGATGACGCAAACTTTCCCAAAATACACAGGACACACAGAATCGTCTGAAATATTAAACTGTCTAAATATATCTCGGAGCGTTATTAAATTTCTGTTTGACAAACGCTTGATTTAATACTGTGCGCCCTGGTTTGGAAATAGAGCGCCCTGATTGAATGGGCTTTTATAAAGAGGGGAAACAATTGTGAAACGACTGTGCACATGAAAATCAATAGGAGCAGGGCCGGCATAATAATCAAACACATTTACAAGTTTGGAGTCGTGTTCCTGGCTCCTCCAGCTCTCTCTCTCCCTCTGACCTTTTCGCCGGTTTATGTCCATGCATAGATATTGGATTTAAAGGGAAAGTGCTTTTACTTAAGCTAAACAACTACGAAAGGCTTGTGATTGGACCTCGGGGTGGAGTTGTATCATGCCTGGATTAGTCCTTACCTTAATTTGTCCGTGCCTGCTTTGTATCTGGAGACCCGGGCCATGGTCAGGGGCAGGCAGACGTCGTCCAGCCAGCGCTTCTCGTACTTGGGCTCATTAGCGGAGGGCGAAGGGGGCGAGGGGACCTGGCGAGGAGGAGCACACGCACAGAAAGCAATGATGTTAGCCGCCCACAGTACAGTACAGCAGCAGGCTTCTGATCATTAAGGATGCGGGTCTACGTGGGAGAGGATTTCTCATGTTGACCTGGTTTAGAAGATTTCTGATACAAAAATGTGGGGGAAAGTGAAAGGTGCTAGATAGTAAAAGAAAGTAAAGTTTTGTTCATGTGATTGTTATTGTGTTGTATAGTGTTGCAACTTAAAGGTTATATATTGCACACAATGGATTCATGTGAGCTGAGCTTGTGACCCCAAAAACATACCCAGAGTTTTATCTTTGTTTCATTCACATAACACAAAACGTTTGATGTTTTTTGATGAGGAAACAACTATTATAGCCACAATTATAACATAAATCAGAAAATAGCATAATATTGGCCCTTAAATAACAACCTTTATAATTAGATTTGGTTTAAAAGGTTTTGTACCTCTTTTTTTTCCCCTATGTATTTGAGCAAAATGTGTCTTGCCGAAAACAGATACAGACGAGGACAAAATTGCTGATACCCCTCTAGCAATGAAATTAAAATCAGCAATCATCACTGAAATAACTTGAAAATGATAAAAGCAATAATAAATAAAAGTTTACTGAAAATTGTCCAACAAAAATCAAACATTACTTTTCACCTGTGGTTCAACAGAATTATTAGAAAAAAACTAAATATTGAAACTGGCCTGGACAAAATTTACAGTACCCCTAACGTAATATTTTGTTACACAACCTTTTGAGACAAACTCTGCAATCAAACGATTTCTGTAACTGTCAGTGAGACTTCTGCTCTGGTCAACAGGTATTGTGACCCACTTAGCATGAGAAAACTGTTCTAGTTTTCTTAGGTTTGAAGGATGCCTTCTCCAGACAGCATGTTTTAGCTCATTTCACAGATGCTCAGTAGAATTGAGATCTGGGCTCATAGAAGAACACGCCAGAACAGTCCAATATTCTGTTCTTAGCCATTCTTGTATGTTTTTAGCTGTGTGTTTTGGGTCATTATCCTGTTGGAAGACCCATAACCTATGACTGAGACCAAACTTTCTGACACTAGGCAACACATTTTGTTCCAAAATACCTCGATAGTCTTGAGATTCCTTTGTATTTTGCACAGATTCAAGACACCCTGTACCAGATGCAGCAAAACAGCCTCAGAACATAGCCAAAACTCCTCCGTGCTTCTCAGTAGGGACAGTGTTCTTTTCTTGGTGTGCTTCATTTTGGGTCTGTGAACATAGAGCTTGTCAAAGAGCTCCAGTTCTGTCTCATCTGTCCAAAGGACATTCTCCCAGAAGCTTTGTGACTTGTCAATATGCAGTGTGACAAATTCCAGTCTCACTTTTTTATGATTTGCTCTGAGCAGTGGTGTCCTCACATGAAGTCCACTTTGGCATAAACAGTGACGGATGGTGCGATCTGACACTGATGTACCTTGCTCTTCAAGTTCACATTTAATTTGTTTGGAGGTTGTCCTGAGCTCTTTGGTTACTATTTATATGATCCAACTCTTCAATTTGTCATCAATTTTCCTCTTGTGGCCACATTCAGGGAGGTTGGCTACAGTCCTGTGGACTTTAAACTTCTGAAGAACATGTGTAACTGTAATCACAGGAACAGCAAGCTGCTTGGACATGGTCTTATGGCCTTTATCTTTAACCTGCTTATCTATCATTTTCTTTCTAATCTCCTGACACAGTTCTCTTCTTCACTTTCTCTGCAAACTGTTTAAATTGAATTAGCTCTGGTTTTCACATTTTTAAGAAAGGTACAGCACCTTTTCAAAAAATGCATACATACATCAACACAAACATCTGTTTACCACTGTTTATCAGAACTCAAAATGCTGTTGCAAAACCACAACATCCCTGATACTCACTTTTATTTACCAAGCTACTACTTCAAAATCAATTGGTTCAAACAAAGATTTCTTCCATTATTTTGGTGTCCGCTGGTGGAGGAAAATGTGCCAACCAACAATATTATTACGGTTATTATTTTTATTAAGATTTCTTTTCTGTGCTCAAAATGAAAGCTGATTGTCCTTCTCTTTCAGCGGTGCAAATGGTGCTTTTAGCTGGCACTCAGAGACTTAGATGTGCTCATTTTTAAACATTATATCCTTTTAAACCGCAGCCTGTTCAAGTGGATTGAGGAGACAAGAAAAGAAAATCAATGTTTATAATGGGCACCACTATTCATTTTTAATAGTAGTTACAATGTGCGGTTTTAAATTTGAGATAAAACACGTATTATCTCTGTATTGGTTCATCAACTCACAAAAAAATTCGCTTCTCACTCAAGTGGTTTCTGAAAATGGTCCAAGATTGGCACGGCGCTAGAATGAAATAAAATAAAAGCCTCTTGATCCTGACGCTGATCACGGCATCAGAGCGTTTTTGATGCTGTCTCAATACACTGTAAACATATCATGCACTTCCTGTTTATCCTGAAGGGTTTGAATCATTTCAACCTGTTCTTTTGACCAAAGTTTGCTAAATAATGCGCATTTATTATGTAAAAAGGTCAAAATTTGCCATTGGAGTGTGACTGATTTACAAAATAACAGTGGTGAAAGAAGTACTCAGTTTTGTTACTTAAATAAAAGTATAGGTACAGAAGGAAAAAAAAAAATATTCAAGTAAAAGTATCCTATCATAGTAAGTAAAAATGTACTTAAAGAGTAAGAGAAGTACATATACTGCTTTCAAATGTAGTGATGAAAAGTGAAAAGCATCCATTTTAAAATTTACATAAAATAAGTACAGATAGCAATTTTTTAAATGTAAGTACAGTACTTTACTATTTTTACTTCACTACTTTCCCCCACTGCAAAATGATTCACAATTTGCTTTTTCAGGACACAATGATAAAACAATTTTCAGCTTTTGTTAAGAACAGAATTACTCCCATGGTCAACAGAAAAGTAGAGCAGGCAGACACATATTTGAACCCTATTGATAACATTGGCCTGAAAGCTTTAGACCAGTGTGATGGATGGATGACAATGTAACAGCGAGGACACATTTTAAAAGGACTAAGTGGTCTTCACAATGACAGAAAATGTCAATAGAGCTTAGGGCAAAACAAATTGAATTCACTTTCAGGGAAGTTTAATCCTGCCCAGGCGAAATGTTTTCTGAATTCTATTATGAAGGCACCCCCCTAGAGAAGGGAGGACGGGAGCAGGCAAAGTCCAGCAGAGGCAGCCAAAACAGCTGTAGAATCTCATTAGCCTATGTGTGGACAGAGACTTGATATAATGTAAATATAACAGAAAAAGACAAGATTAAAGGTCAGATATTTCACAAAATTGAATCTTGTGAGCTTTTAGCCAAGTTAAAATGTTGTTTCCTCATCAAAAACATACCTGGAGTTGTGTTTTATTTCATTCACACAGTCGACACAGTGGATCACGAGATTATTCTGTCCCGGTTGGAGCACTGAGTGGGGAGTCGTGGTCCAGCCCTGATATGGTTTAGGTCATACCTGACTGATAGACATTTCTGTGGTGGTTTTGGTAGTTATGTTTCCTCCTCTACCCCGCTATCATATGGTGGTCCCCAGGGATCAATATTAGGGCCTTTGCTTTTTTCCCTTTATATACTTCCTCTGGGCACCATTCTGAGGAAGCATGGCATCACATTCCACTGTTATGCTCTATTTGCCCTTAAAGAAACAGGATCCACAGGCTGCCAGACCACTTTTAGACTGTATCAGTGACATCAAATCGTGGATGTCACAGAACTTTTTTGCATCTTAATCAAGAAAAATCTGAAGTTATGGTTTTTGGCCCTAGCTCTTCAAATTCTTCTTCTCCTGTGTTCACTAAATCATTTATTGAGGCCAGCTGTTTCAAACTTAGGTGTCAAGATGAACTCTGATCTAAAATTTGATCAGCGAATTAGTGCTGTTGTAAAGTCTAGCTTTTTTCCAGCTAAGACAATAGATGCATCACAAATTTCGGTCTTCCTGTCATTGCGCAATGCATACTGGGAAGGATTTTCCGAAAAAGTGAGCATGAGTGAGCATGGTAGCATAACTAATAACTTAAAATATGACAATATCAGAACCAGAAACAAAGCGATATGGTTCAAAAGACTAGAAAAGATCGGTTTTGTCAATAGACGCATCCCACTGTGAAAACAAACATGGCAGTTTGATGCTCACTTTTTCGGACGGCCCTTCCTAGCCAAAATTATGCCTGTTTTGTCAGCAGAACATGTCAAAACTGTCATACATGCATTTGTGACCACTAGATTGGATTATTGTAATGCACTTTATGTTGTCAGCCAAAATGCACTTCGCCGTTTGCAATGGGTCCAAAACTCGACTTTTAACTGGAACCTGGAAACACGAGAGCATCTCACCTATTTTATCCTCTCTCTCCATTGTCTTTTAGAGTCGATTTTAAAATTCTTTTATTTTCTTTTAAGTGTTTGCACAGCCTAGTGCCCTTCTACCTTGCTGACTTGATCCACCCTTACACAAACTCTCACACCCTCAGGTCTGCAGACCAGCTCCAGCTTGTCGTCCCAAACACTAAACTTGAGCTCCGTGGGGTCAGTGTATTTTCTGTTACTGCCCCATGGCTGTGGAACCAGGTGCCGTTAGAGATTAGATGGGCGGAGTCTGTACCTGTTTTTAAATCACTCCTAAAAATGCACCTTTTTTCACTGGCTTTTAACAAGTGACATGTACATTTCTTGTTGCTGACCATCTTATTGTTTTCTATGTTTTTAGTAGTTGTATTGTGTTAGTGTTGTATATTGTCTTGTACTGCGATTGTCCTTGTCTGTTCTGTGTTTGTGTACAGCACTTTGGCCAGCTGTAAAGTTTTTAAAGTACTTTGTAAATAAAGTTGGTATGGTATGGAGAGTGTTTCTGTTTAAGAGAAGAACACAGTCTAAATATGGAGAGTTTATGTGTTAAACATACAACAACAAAACACAATTCGAGGTTTCTGATGAGGAAA